TTAAGGTGCTGGACGGAGGTGTCAAAGAGTGGGTTTCTGACGATAACACAGTAGAGACAGGAGAACCTGAAGCCCGGGAAACGCCCTCAGATCTCTGGACGCAACCTGTGGACACTAAGAAGCTTGTCGGCTTTAAAGCTGTGCAGAAAGGGATCGCTGATCCCTCCACGCAGTTTGTGGACGCCAGATCCCCTGGCGAGTACTGGGGAGAGGATGCCAACGGCAACGCACGGACTGGTCACGTCCCCGGAGCTGTGAACTTTAATTGGATGGAAGGCGTGGATTTCACTCAGAACGGAAAGTTCAAGACCAAGGAAGAGCTCGACAAGGTGTTCATGGACATTTTCCATCTTGACAAGGCGAAACCAGTGATCACGTACTGCCAACGTGGAATTCGAGCTGCTCACACGGCATTTGCACTAGAGCAGGTGATGGGGTTCAAAGACGTCAAGATCTACGAAGACTCGATGCTGCAGTATCTTAACCGGGACGTTTCCGAAGTGGCGAAGCAGTAACATAACGGTTGACCTAGACGGTAGGTAAGGAGTAAGTCCAACGCTAAACTCAAAAGTGGACGAAATATCCTTTTGTTGGTAGCAAAGACTAATAAGCTGAAACTTTTGAAGTGCGGTATTACCCAACTGACTTGCCTAAGGCAAGTTGCCTTACGAGATCATGAGAGATTAGGAGCGGTGAGATCCTAACGGTAGAAAGCTCTGTGAGCAGGGACATCAGAAGCTGGGAAAGCTAATAGCAACGGCGTGTCCAGCTGTGCCGCGCTCACTCAAGCAACCACAACCAGCACACCAGCTCTCGGTATGTCAGCCGGACCTTGCTGGATAAACTGGTCAATCATAATTCCCAAGCTGCTTCAGTGAAGCATTCCTCAGATGCGTGAAGGCTTCAGAATGGAAGTCGTGAAAAAGGTTAATTGTAAAATAACCTTCAAATGAACCTCTGATAATAAATAATTGAATTTTACCTCAAATATTTAAAATGATTTCGGATCTTAAAGCATGGACGACGACAGCCGTCGACGTGTGATGCTGGTCACTGGCGGCACGGGACTCGTGGGTCGAGCGTTGCAGGACATCGTAGCAACCCAAGGTTCATCCCGAGACGAGTGGCATTTTGTGGGCTCAAAAGACGCGGATCTACGCGACCCACAGCAGACTCGCAAGCTCTTCGAACGTGTGCAACCCACGCACGTGCTGCATCTGGCGGCGCTCGTAGGTGGTCTGTTTCACAACTTGTCGAGGAAAGTGGACTTCTTTCGAGAGAACATGGCCATCAACGACTCGGTGCTGCAATGCTGCCAGCAATTTCACGTGGAAAAGCTCGTGTCGTGTCTCTCCACTTGCGTCTTCCCAGTCGAGACTTCGTATCCGCTGGACGAGACGATGCTACACAACGGTCGAGCGCACAACTCCAATGAGGGCTACGCCATGGCTAAGAGACTTATCGATACACTTAACCGCTGCTACGCGGACCAGTTTGGATGCAACTTCACGTCTGTCATCCCTACCAACATCTATGGACCACACGACAACTTCAACATTGACAACGGACACGTAGTGCCCGGACTAATTCACAAATGCTACTTGGCTAAGCGAGACTTGACACCGTTCGCCATCTGGGGAAGTGGCAAGCCGCTGAGGCAGTTCATCTACAGTCTTGACGTGGCAAGGCTCATGCTATGGACGTTGGACCACTACAACAGTGTGGAGCCACTGATTTTATCTGTGGGCGAAGAGGACGAGGTGTCGATTGGTAACGTGGCACAAGAGATCGCTGCTGCGATGGACTTCAGAGGGGAAATTATGTTCGACTCTAGCAAAGCGGACGGTCAGTTCAAGAAGACGGCGAGCAACGCGAAGCTGCGAAGTTTGTTACCAGATTTCCAGTTCACACCGATCAGCAAAGGCTTGCAGCAGACAAGTGCATGGCTCGAGGCAAACTATGAAAAGGCACGCAAATAGTGGCAAGCCTACAAAATATTAAAGTACTCCACACATAATGAAGTAGTCTGACGATTCTATCGCACATTGCTCTCCCGCTCACATGTCAGCCGTTAGCCACAACCAACCGAAAGACGTTAGGTACTACCCTCTACCATTCCCCACTACTCATTGAAGCAAGCTTGTACTACGTAGTAAATTACGCAAGTGGCCCTGCATACGAATGGCCTGGGCAAAGGCTTCAAACGTGTTTTAAACTACTTCAAAGTACTGCAGTGCTGGCACCTGTGGTTTTCAACTGGTAAACGGTAACCAAGGACTGCTGAATATTGCCAGCTGCATCTCTTACAACTCATCGTGAGCATCTCCGTAGTCGCCATCCGTCGCGCCACCATCGTCGAACTGGTCTACGTGTCGGCTGCTGTGCAATGCCTGCACAATGTCGCTTTCAATCTCCAATGGCGATGTCGACGTCCCGTACCGCTTGGATGGCTCATGGTTCACAATCAAAAATTTGGTGAAGTTCCACTTGATGTCGTTGGTGATGAATCCGTCAAGCTTCTTCTTCAAAAAGTTAAAAAGCGGATGAGCGTTTTCACCATTCACGTCCACCTAAACACCACAAGCCAGCAAAGTAATCAGAGTCTAGCAGTCCATTGAGGTGATTTTCACCATAGCTACCGACCTTGTTAAAAAGCGGAAACGTCACGTGGTATTTCTCCTGTGCAAACTTAAGGATATCTTCAGCAGTTCCAGGCTCCTGCCCGCCGAACTGGTTGCACGGGAAGCCCAGCACCATGAAGCCTTCATCGTGATATTTCTCGTACAATTCCTGCGCGATAGCACAAAATGTTTTGCTATTAGCTCGTTCAACTCGACGCAGAAGAAATGACCGAGTGTTCCACTGCATCGTACCTGAAGCTCACGATAGTTCTTGTCCGTGTATCCGCAGTCGCTGGCCACGTTGACCACGAGAATGACCGGGAAGGCGTTGAACTCACGCATGGATACCTGATGACCCTTAAGATCCGGAATCGTAAAGTCTAGGAACGACTTCACTTCTCCATTGCAGATGCCAAGAAGAGCAACGGCCAGCGTCACCGCCAGCAACAACAGAGCACGCATTTTTATCGGATCTCCTACGGCAAGATGACTCAACACCAATGTCATATTTGATCTCATTGGCTAAAACAAAGATATTTTAAATTATTGACCAATGAACGTACAGTCTAAAATGGCGCGGAAGGGTTTTGGTTCAAAAGCGCGCGCACCTGCCAGGGAGCAACAATCGTGGGCACTCATGGCGTCGCAGGACGATGACCATCACTCTTCTAATGGCAACCCGCGCCCGGTGGTGCCCACCCAGCTCCTGCCCAAGAAGGCGGCGGCGCGCAGCGGCAGCGACCAGGTGCGACGCAACCGCATGAACATGGAGAAGATGATCATGAAGAACGTGGCAGCTTCGCGCAACAGCACCAAGAACCGCGCGCAGCAGATCCTCGAGTCATTCAAGAAAAAGCGTCAGCAACAAGAGGACACGCCTGGGGTCAAAGTGGACGAGGTTGAGCGCTCCGCTAAGCGCCAGAAGACGTCACCCCCGCACGGAGACGCAGCAGCCAGGACAGCGGTCGCTGCAGGCATCCTGTCTCCTGCTCGACGTGCTCCTACGGCGTCTGGACCGAACTTTACGAGCCCCGCACGACGTCACAATCACCCGCTCAACTTGAAAAGCCCCGTACCACAGCAAGCGAGTCCAGCGCGGGCTAGAGGCGTGAACCCGCTACATCTTTCGAGTCCTGTGCGACCACCGAGAAGCTCAGTATTGGCCAGTCCGGCCAGACCGAAGCGCAGCGGGAACACGGCGAGTCCGCTCCGACGTAGCGATTTTCTGACGAGTCCATTGAGGCACCGAGCGTCAGCGTCGCCTAAGAGACCACTGATGTTCGACGATACCTCCACAGATGCTGCTGCTACTTCGACGAGGATCAATGGACACCCGCCGCTACTATCGTCCGCGTTGGACCAGGTGGAAGTTGCTCCTGCAGCCAAAGCTGCGAAGGCTGTGAGAGCAGCCAAGTCGCCGTTCCAGTCATTCCAGGCAAAGTTTAGCAAGTCGCCCGCTAAACCTGCGAGAACGACGAGTAGTCCAGGCGCGGGGGGAGACTCGATGCGAATGAAAGTGCCTCGGAGTGGGCCCATGATGGTGGATCTGGCTCACCCAGATGACGCCCACGGTACTTCAGTTGCTGCAGATACTTTGTCTGACTTTACTGCTCCATCCACTACACATAGTGCTGCTGTTAGTAGCGGTAACGGTCCACGTGCTGCGCAAATAACTGCAGGGCCACCGACTTCTGCGTCTGATCGGCCTTCGAGCTCACCCACACCGCCACCGAAGCCCGTACGCAAGTTGTTCCCGTCGTCTCGTCCTGTTGTTGCCCAGAGATCGATCTGTTTCTCGACGGAGAGCGTAGCTACGGCGCTGGATGTGACTCCAGATGGCGAGATTGTTGTGGTTGGCTTCACGGATGGCTCAGTACGGCTTTACGAAATGGACAGCAGCGTCCCGAGTGACCGTCACGGATACCTTCTGGGCCACCTTGACGAACAATCTTCTCAGAGATCGGATAATGTGCACATGCGTGTGAAAATCTCCCCCGATGGTCGCTATGTTTTTGCTGGTGATCGACAACGTAGGCGCGTGGTCATGAGTATCAATCTGGACCATTATCGAAACGAAAAAGGTGCGAACGGGTTTCTAAACTCTCGGTATCAATATTTGGTTCTAATGCTTGTTCTTTCAGAGGGCGATGACGAAGATTTCCAGCAATTTCAAAAGCATTTTCATGGCAACTCTAAACTCCGGGTGAGCTACAAAACGTGGTCAATTGCTATGGATCTCAGCTCACCTGTTCGTTTATACTCCTCTCTTTCTGCAGGGCTTTGCCGATGTAACAACCTATGTTCCACCCACGGACTCATCAGTCAAGGAACAGCAAGAAAACACGCGCAAAAGGTAAATACTTCTAACTGTCTGCTTCGTCATGTTATGGTTATGCCAAGTACTGACTTGCCTTTCTTCTTCAACGGCAGATCTGCGTACTACATTCTGACAGGTCTTGGTGTTGGCAATCTGAATTTATGGCGCTTCGTGGAGCAGTATCAGCAGGAGCCCATTTGGGAACACTTGCAGAATTTCGGAGCTGGAGGCAACACTGCAGTGATGGCGGCGTTTCTGCCGTCAAGTGAATCCCCTGGTGTATTAGCGATCGCAGCGGTTTGTCGAGACAAAAATCTTCGTGTGTGGCCCATGGAATACACTAGAACGAGCTCTGCTGAGGAAAGCAACGACGACTCTGCTACTGAAACAGAAGACACGAGTTTTCTTGGCGGAGTCCACTCTGTGAGCTCCCACTTCAACATCCAGAACACATCAGACATCGTCGCTATTCATGGACAGTATGGGTATGGCATTTCTCTCATGGGCGAAGCGTACCGAATCTGTTTCCCGGATTCTTCAATCCTGAACTCTTCGTGTGAGCGATTGCCTCGCCAGGTATTTGAACTGGAAAAACTTGGCGGCGGTGGCATCAGCAAGTCGCGTCGATCCAACGTCATGCTCGAATCTCTCGCTGCGAGTGATGACGGAAAGACTGTCGTTGTCGTGTCTAGCGAGGGCATCTTCTACTATTCCAACAAGCTTCCTGAAGTGGGCTCAGATGAAGAGGCTCATCTTCGAATTATCGGCAAGAATGCATCGGAGAACACGCTGTTCAAGGCGCCCATGAAGGTGTACACGCCGAGGATTAAGACGAAGGACAGTACAGTAAAGTCGGAGGCCATGATGGCTGTGGTGACGAATCCCAGTGACGAGGACAGTGAGGAAGAGGGTAGATTTATCAATGTCGATCCTACGGAGGCGTTTGCTGCACGCTGGATGGTGCCAAGTCGAGGACAAGACTGCTGGGTGTGTGGAGTGCGTAACGCGAGCCATTGGGTTGGTCCTCCTGAGTCTAAGGCCAAGGAACCTAGTCGGGCTCAGCTGGAAGCGCAGCAAAGGGAGAGGGCAAGGGCTCAGCGCCGTCAAGACCGGCTCACCAAGCGAGCATTGACCGCCGCTTCTAGCCAGCAAACCAGTAGTAATTCTCGTGACGCAGAGACTCCAGTCGCTGCAACACCCAAGACGACACCTCGTTCGAGTGCGAGAAAGGTTGCTAAGAGCAAAGAAAATGCTCAATTCAGTGCTGTTGTGGCGAGTAGCCCAGGAATTGTCCAGGTATCTGGCCAGAAACGCAGGATGAGTCAGAACTCTGGCGCGGGTGATGACGAAGACGAAGACTGCACGGGTAGCGACGATAATACTCCGTCTATCGCGTCGCTGATGAGTGAACTTGAGCATTTCAAGAAGCGCAATGCAGAGATCAAGACGGAGTGGCAGCGACGATTGCTAGGCGAGCGACAGCTCCGTCGGAAGTGGAAGCAGCGTGAGGAGGAGTTCCTAGATCAATTGAATGACTCGCTCACCAAGTTGGATACTGCTGAGGTGGAAGTGGATCGACTCCGAGTTCTGCTGCGGGATGCAGAGAAACGATTCGCGTTCGAGAAAGCGCGTGTGGAGCAGGAGACCTCGGTGAAGGCGCGTTATGAGCAAATGTGCGAGCAGATGAATGACAAGATGGCGCTGATTGCCGACCAGAAGCGGTTGCTAGAGCAGACAACGCGCAGTCTGCTCACTGAAGTGGACCGTAACGTTCATGCACTGAAGAATGCTGTGATTCTCGAGAAAACTGAGTGCGTGGTGTGCAAGGACCAACAAGCTGTGACTGCCATCGTGCCTTGCGGTCATCTATGCTTCTGTGAACAGGACGCTGAGACGTATCGCCGCAATTGCACGACGCAATACCCGACGTGCCCCATTTGCCAGCAGGAAATCATTTCTCTACTGCGAATTTATACCTGAGACACTAAAAGGGGGTTCAATACAAAGGACAGTGAAGTCGTCGAACTTATGTTTTGAGAATGCGATAAGAAACATTCCTTTATTTTACGTGCAGAAACTCAGGGTAATCGGCGCCGGACAATCACATCGGAAGTCGATGAGGTTGGCGGTCGGGTTGTACACGAATTAATACATGGGTTCACTTTCAGCAAGGTTGCAGACGGCAACTTGTCTGCAAGCCAAGATCATCCAATCTATTTTGGGGAAGAGGGGTGTTAGCCAATCGCGTGCTCGCTCAAGGCCGGCCTACCTTAAGACCAGATGCTGCCTACATTAACAATCGCCGTCGGAACTTAAGCTTGATTTTTGTATTCTTCTCAAACGGGATGCCTAAAATCAGGTTTTCATCTAGGACTCCCTGCGTAGCCACTCAACACGCTCACGTACGTCACTTCCTCTTTTGACCTGTTCGGAGCAAGACCACAACTCTTATTAATAGCAAGACTGCAACATGGGTGACTACGGTCAGTACGATGTGCCCAAGGCGGACGAGATGATCAACTTCAAGGTTGGTCAGCCCGCCCCTGCCATGCTGCCGCTGGACAAGATCCGCGAGGCTGCTACGCTTAAGTTTTCCGAGACGGACCCTATGTTCCTGCAGTACGGTGTGATTAAGGGCTACCCCAAGTTCCGCAAGACTCTGGCTGAGTTCCTGACCAAGGGATATCAGCACGAGGTGGACCCGGAGAAGCTCTTCGTGACGAACGGCGTGACCGGCGGTCTGGCGCTCATCTGCTCGCTGTTCCTGCAGTCGGGCGACCTCGTGTTCATGGAGGAGCCGTCGTACTTCCTTGCGCTGAGCATCATGAAGGACTTTAAGATCAACGTGCGTCAGATCCGTATGGAGGAGGACGGACTGGACATCGACGAGCTCGAGCGTCTGCTACAGCGTGGCATTGTTCCTAAGATGCTGTACACCATCCCCACGTGCCACAACCCCACGGGGCGAACACTCAGCGTTGAGAAGCGTAAGCGTCTAGTAGAGCTCAGTGTCAAGTACGGCTTCATCATCGTGGCCGATGAGGTGTACCAGCTGCTGTCCTTCCCGCACGTGACGCCCCCTCCGCCCATATTCACGTTTGACGAGCACGACACGGTGCTCGCTCTGGGTAGTTTCTCCAAGATCCTGGCTCCTGCTCTTCGTCTGGGCTGGATCCAGGGCTCTCACAAGCTTCTGAGCAAGATCGAGGGCTGTGGCCAGCTCGACTCCAGCGGCGGTATCAGCCCCGTCATTTCCGGTATCGTTCACGCCGCTATCGCCTCGGGACTGCAGCAGGAACACCTGGACACGACTGTGCAGACTCTTTGGGGCCGTGCTGACGCTCTCATGAAGGAGCTGAAGGCCTGTCTGCCTGAGGGCGTGACGTTCGAGGTCCCGGATGGTGGCTACTTCGTCCTGGTGCGTCTGCCCGAGGGCTTGAACGCCAACGACCTGCTGCCTATTGCTCAGAAGCACAAGGTCATGTTCCTACCTGGGGCCTCGTTCAGCAGCAACATGAAGAACTTCCTGCGACTCAGTTTCTCGTGGTACGACTTCCCAGACATGCAGCTCGGCGCTCGTCGTCTTGCGGACGCTATTCGTGAGTATCAGGAGATCTTCGCAGCCCAGAAGAAGTCGGAGGAGGCTTCGGCCACTAGTGCCGGTCAGGGTGTCCGCGTTGCCGTGCACGGACACGACGGACGTCTGGGCTCGCTCATTGTGACTGAGCTCAGCAAGACCGACAACGACGCTAGCTTTGCTGGTGCCATTGTCACGCGTCTTGAGACTGGCGTCCAGGCCCCGGACCTTAACAACGTGGACGTTGTTATCGACGTGACGCTGCCTGCTGGCACCAAGAAGGTTATCGCGTACCTCCGTGAACAGAAGGACGCTGGCAAGATCAACAAGCTGCCTGCTCTGGTTGTGGGCACGACGGGTGCGCTGCCAATGGAGGACCTGGAGGCCTACTCGAAGCTGGCCCCTGTCGCCCTTCGCTCGAACTTCTCGGTGGGTGTGCCCCTCGTGTCGGAGCTGATTAAGGCTGCTGCCTTCAAGCTGCCCACTGAGGGCTGGAACGTCGAGGTGACGGAGATCCACCACACCAAGAAGCTGGATGCTCCTAGCGGAACGGCCAAGACGCTGGTCAAGTCGCTGGCTGCCACGGGTGCCGCGTGTCTGGGCGAGACCGGCCAGGCCCCGACGCACTCTCTGCGTCTGGGCGACGAGGTCGGCCAGCACACTGTGCTATTTGCTGGCCCCGGCGAGCGCATTAAGATCGTCCACCAGGCCACTCGCCGTGAGGTGTTCGCCATCGGTGCCGTGCGTGTCGCCTCGCAGGCTCCTTCCATGCCTCTCGGCCTGCACTCGGACTAAACTGACCGGGAGACTGCGCTTTAGTGTATTCTAGCTATGCTCCACTTCCTTAATTGCAATGTGTGGTGGCTACGTGAGCCCATCGCATTGGCAACGAGGATACGTCGTGCCTTTCAATAAACAAATTCTTCCTAAGCTGTGAACTCAATATGCTCCCAAGTTGAAGATGTTATGTTGCGCTATCAGTTAAGCAAACGTCAATTAGACTTAATGTGACTCTTTCACTCTTCTATCGCATTTCTCTTCTATACTCGATAGAATTTGCGAGACAAGCAGGTCTCTATCTTTTAATTAACAGTTGTCGCGATGGAAAAATGTGCTGAACTCGCACAACTTGGAATCACTATGCTGAGCCGTTAAGCCATTCCAGCGAAGCTCCAAAGCTTCACTCACTTGCATCGTCCACCTCTGTGTTAATAGTATTAATAGTAAGCATAAGTATGATGGAGTTCCGCCCGATGGACCCCAAAAAGGGGCCACACCCGGTCTTAGGCGACGGCGGTGGCATGTTCTCCATTCCAAGCTTTCCCTCGGACGCGCATCCCGACGCCATGGACGACAGTCCCGCGATTCTACGTCCAGGATCATCCGTAGCCATGCTACGAGGCCAGCGCATGTCGGAAGAGGTCGGCCAGCCTTCGTGGTACGAAGAGGAAGCCGTGTCCAAGCGTCTGAGTTGCTGCCAGATCATCCGCTTGGTCTTCGACTCATTGCTGCTTCTTGCGGCTGTGGGTGGCGTGGTACTGGCCGCCTACATGCCCGTGGACATCGAGCGTGGAGAACGTCACGGAGGCGCGCTGCCTTACGTATATGCAGTGTTTGTGGCTATCGCAGGCTACGAGTTCGCGTGGTTAGCGTATCGAGTGCGTCTCAAGCTCTTTATGCCTTTCAAGCTGCACGAGAAGCAGACGTCGAGAGAGATGTACAGACAGATCATCGCCTACGCTGTGGACGAGGAGACGGCAGCCGTCACCTCAATAGCTGAGAAGTTGTGCTGCAGCAGTAAAGTTTTTGCAGCGCTGGTGCTGTCAGCCTTGACATCAGGGGCTGCAGTGGGGCTATGCTTTGTGCCTGGAAGTACTCAAATGCCGATGATTTACGTTGGAGTAAGCGCATTCGTCGGCATGCTCTCAGCTGCTTTAGCACCCAATGTACCCACGGCGCTGTGTGTGCTGATCCGGTATGCCTACTTCTTCCTGTCCTCACTGAATGTGGTGCTACGTAGCGATGGGAATGCCTCCAATGGTGGTAGTGCTTCCAGTGGCAATGGAAGTGGCTCAGTAGACGACTACAACGGCGATTTGGACAGCCGACACGCCATGGATAAATATCTGGCAGTGGCGGTGGAGTCGTACTCGTTACTGCTGCTGGGTGTGTGTCTGTTGCTCGTCACCCGCGCCGTGACAAGCAAAGACGCGGTGGAATCGGCGCTGATGATCGTCCTGGATGTCACCGGTTTGCTGTACTTGAGCTGTTCTGCCGCCGTGCTCGAGCTATTCGAGCAATCGACGCGCGTCCGTGCCAGCGGTGCATTGGCTGGTTTCTTTGTCATCGTGTGGAGTTCGGAGCTGGGCGCGTCCCTCACGGCTCGACTCCTCAAAGCCATGCAGTTCCCGTGGATGCATCCGCTGTCAAAGCACGTGTCGTCGCAGCAGAACGTCGAAAAAATGATTGGAGCTATCGGCTTTGCTGTCGGTGCTGCAATTTTCGCGTCGAAGTACGTGGACTTCGACATGGATATCGTATTTGTCGCACTGATAAGTGCCGGAGCGGTCATGTGTGCCCATGTTGGTAAACTCTTTCTGTTAAGCCTCAAGAAGATCGCCAAGGTCTCCGCCACAGGCTCGTATCTGCGTGTAGGCGGCGGCGTCCTCGACCGCCTCGATACGCTTCTCTTTATGGCCGTAGTGTTCGCTCCTTTCTTCCAACGTGCTGTCTACAACCAACCGCAGTGGTGACCAAGTGAAGTTACCAAGGCTTCAATATATTTAACGAATGTGATCATTGTTCAGTTTCGACATGTTGCGCAACCTCGTGATTATCTCGTTACATGACACTGCAGCCTTTTTCTCCATCCTGCAGGTCTGCACCGTCTTCGTCGCTCTCCTCGTTGTCACCCGTTGCTTCTCCGCCTTTTTGGGTCTCACCGCCAGTCTTCGTAGCACCAGCCTGCTGCTTCTTAACCACCTTCCGCAGTCTCTCCACGTCATGCATAGTCAACACGGTACTGTTGCGGATCACGAGATAGTCGTCATGTCCAAGCGTCTGGCAGTTCAGCTCCAGCTTGCGCAACTCACTACTAGGATCATCCAGACCCAGGAGCTCTCCCATCGTGTTCTGCATGAACAGCGGCTGGTTGCTGACAAGTTCGATCTGCGCGTTCAACGCTCGTGTGAGCCACGCCAGTTCCGCCACATCAGGAACACTCGGGTCGCCCTTACGGAACACCACAGCAGATGGGTACAGTGCCTCGCCCTTGACCTTAGCGATAGGCAGCGAGTGCTTCGTGATGACATCCAAGTCGTCGAACGGCACGGACGTCTGCGGACCGTAGAGAATCGACATCTCCTTGGCTCCCCAGACGATCTTGTGCTCTCCAGACCCGCTCGAAGCGCTTCCAGGCGGAGTGCAGCTGACCTTGTGGTCCTTCCAGTGGCCTCGTTGACACGGCGCGTCGCAGTAGAACGTGCATTTGCAACGTGTACAGCGCTTCAGCTCCTTTCCAGGGACGGCTCGCTTGTCGCAGTTGGCACAACGACGTAGTTCAGGGTTCTCCATCAACGCTAACTGCTCTCCAGGCGGCAGTACGCGGCGTTCCAGATCCGCACGTGTGTAAAACAGCGCCATACCGCGGATATGGTCGCCACCTTCGCCGTTCGAGCCACTGCCTGTGCGTGTGCTGATGACAGACGAGAAGACAGTGCCTCGACCCACGTGGTGTCGCGCATCCAAGCGCAATTCTTCGTCCCCCACCGCGTCAACTTGAATGGCCTGACGCTCAGCGAGACGGTCCCATGGCTCCAGCTTCGCGTACTGCTCGCAGGCTGAGTAGAAAGCTGTTAGAGCGTCAGTCGTCACGCCAGTACCCGACATCAGGCCAGCACGCTCGCTCACTTCAGCTACAGACGCCAGGTCCTTCCGGATCAAGTGTTGGGACAGCTCTCTGTGTACAACAACACTGTATTGTTAGGTGTACCAATCAGAGAAACCAACATGGAAAGCTGTAAACGTACTGGATGTAGGCGTCGATGCCGTCCGATTCGGATAAGTACGAACACTCGATTCCTAGTGCCGAGTAGCTCTTGCGTAGCTGACCGACATAGTTCTTATCTGGGAAGACGATCTTGTCCGGACGGTGCTGCGGAGTGTTGGTCGGGGGATCTAGCATGGCTTGTAGCGTCAAGTCTAGCACCGTTTGGGGCGATGGGTACACCTCGGGTGGGTCACAGATCTTCTTGGACACCACTTGGCCCAACGGGTACAAGTTGTTCACCAGGATACAGTACGGACGACAGGGTACGGCGTCGTGTCCATCGTCAGCGCCAGCGCTGGACGCCGACCATACGCGGAGTTGACGCACTACAACCTGCCAGACTTCGAGCTGCTTCTTCTCCAGTTTGCGATAGCGCTCTACCTGATTGGTCGCTAGCAGCATCTCTGTGCTGATCACAATGTCGGCTAGAAGGACGCAATAGCAGCGATACCAAAATTAGTATATGTGAGCTACTTCAGAGGGAATTGATACAATGAGCTTTTAGGACTAACCATCGCCTTCCACATCGAACTGGGTAGGCACTCGCGGCACATCTTCAGTGTCCGAGTCCGAGTCATCCTGTAAGTTTAATCGGTAGTTAAAACAGCGTAAGAGAGACCGGAATTCGAACACTGTCTTAGCAGAGGAATAAATCCACATATACTGCGTGGATAGAAGCCACAGCATCATGGCTACATCCACCAGAAGATGGAGAAAAGGCAGGGAGGATAGTACTCACCTGGAAGTTGTTCCACTTTTCGTAGTTCTTCGTCAAGAATTGCTCGCCCGTCGCCATTCTCGTCTCTCTTTCTTCTTCTAAGTTTGTGGACTTTCAACCGAAAAATATAATTGGAATCAGATTTGAAGGTGTAATTGGTATCATCGTATCAGATCTTAAATCTGATACTTCACAGTAAAACCTGATAACTTCAGAATATGGACAACTTGGTCGAGACGCTGCAGACGCAGCGCGAGGAGCTCCTGACGGCGCACGCTAACGCCAGTGATCGCGAGACTGCGCGTAAGCTCGTGCACCAGCTTAAGGCCGTATCGGAGGAACTAGAGCTCGTGGCAGCGACGGCCACGTCTTCTGCTCAGTCCGCTCTTTCTCCGGACTTGTATGCTAGCTACCTGCTAGTCGTGCTGCTGTCCAAGAACCTCAACGACGCGCGGTTCCTGTGGAAACGCATTCCAATCGAGATTAAGCAGCTGTCTGAGGAGCTTCGCAACGTCTGGAAAGTCGGCAGGGCGCTGTGGCAGCGGTGAGAAGCTGGGAAGATGTGCGTTCCAAAAAGTGAAAGCTTTTGACCTTCTTGGTGCCCTTTTACGACAGGAATCTGGCAGCTGCCTACGCGGCAATGGATTACGACTGGTCACCATCTCAGCAAGGACTCGTGGAGGCGCTTAAGAGTGCGTGGAATGCGGTAGTGTCGTGCTCGACGCACAGTAATGGGCTGACATGGAGTGTGGTTTCTCTCTCTCTGCAGCTTCTACGCGCCAAGACGCAGCCGAGTTGCTGAGTCTGGCATACTCGACAGTATCTGTGAGTGACGTAGCGTTTGCTCTGGGGTTTGCTCGACACGAAGACGCTGTGCAATGTGAGTGGCTTTAGAGCTTTACTGAAGTAGCCAGTCGTGACTCACTTGCTGGATGTGGCTGCTGTAGACTGCTCGTCGCTGGGTTGGGAGGTGTCAGCCGCAGATCAATTGATCTTACCGAAACCATTGGCCAATATTCGTCGCGGAAACTCGACAGTGGTGGATCTGGATCAACTCGACACGCTATCCAAGACGGTGCTGCATCTGGAACAGAACACAGTGCTCAAGCTGTCGTAAGATGGTCAAGTCCACGCGTTCGTAGCCAATTTCTGCGTAATACTGGCGACGAGTCAATATAAACCGTCTGTTCAGACAACCTTTCGTGTCTTTTGGAGTGGCTCCTCGTTAGATACGCAGTCGATGGAGAAGCGCAAGGCCCGTCGCAAGACTTGGGAGCTCAAGGCGGCTAGCGACGCCGAGTCGACTGTCAGTACGCGCAGTAGCACTAGCAGCAACAGCAGCTCGTTATGGAAGGAGCCGAAGCGACGACTGAAGGCGCAGCACCTCAATAGGCACGGCAATGGTAGTGCTCCCTCGCAGCTTCGGACATGTGAAGACGAGGAAGACCAAGCCACGCCCCTCGAGAGCAGACTGGGGGCCATTTTGGAGACTACAGAGGCGCAGGTGATTATGATTTTACTCATCGCACTTGACATCATCTCCACTGCAGTGGAAATCCATCTACACGACCAACAGCAGCTGCACCAACTTAATAGCAAGAGAGCAACAGCAGACGCAAGCACAGAGGTGATCGCACCACGGTTGGCTCGAGTTGTGACTCGATTAGTGGAGTCTTTCACGGGCTTCACACTCTTCCTCTTCCTGATCGAGTTGGCTGTCCTGCTAGCTGCGTTGCGGCGCAAATTCTTCGCCCATGCTGGTTACGTACTGGATCTGGCAGTTGTCAGCGTATCTGTCACTGTAGAGCTGTACGCACAGACGAAAGGTGAGGCTTTTGCGAACATGTTTTCAACCGGAGTAGCCGTAATAACTCGGATGTTTTGATGATAGCTGTACGACTTCTAGGTATTCTGCGTGTCTGGCGAGTGTTGCGTTTAGTTCGACACCTTGTCGACCAGGAACGTGCTGCTCATGATGCCACAAGGCAATTACTGGAACAAGAGCAACTGGTGCGGAATTTCTTGTGGAATATTTACGTGAGGAAGGTCTGACGTTTCTTGTTACTTTTTAGAAACTGCTTCACGTTCGGATGCAGAAGGAGGCAGCGCAGGAATCTCTCAAGTGTGAGTATGAATCACGAGCAGGGCTTGAGCAACTCTTGCGCGTGTACAAGGACGAGATTGTGACGCTGAAGGAGGCACTACAGATCGCTGCTCAGGCTGTGGCTGAGGCGACGATGGCCGAGAGTTCAGACGCTGAGAACTCGTTGGGTTTGTATCGCGCAGCAGACCATGAGCACAGCGAGGAGTATAACCATCACGAAGAGGCTGCTGTACACCCGACTGGGCTACAGACTGAGCACCGGCAAGACAGTGGGTTTTATCACCAGGAAGCTGAAGTGTATCCATCAGAGATGCATCTACATGTAGATGGAGAACTGTGGCAAGAGGATCGCCAGGTTGCTGTGAGCTCGACGGCGGAGCAGATAGAATTGAAGAGCGACAACGGATTTGAAGATGCAGTGGATGAATAACACGACGACGCATGCCATTCAAGCTCATCACAACGAGATGAGTGCAGCGTTCATCTAGTTGTCCGCGCGTTTCTTGTCCCATGCTACGACGTCCTTGTAGCGGATATCGCCGCCAAAGATGTCGAGCGCACTGCCAATCGAGAGATCCACCTACACTCATTTACACAAAGGGAGAGTTACTACCAACGACTTGAGCGACACTCGATCTGTCATTTGCATTACCTTGCCGTTACCGATGCGCTTCACAAAGTCCAAGTCGTCCTGATAGTAGCCGAATTTGAACACGGTCCCGTGAGTAGAGTCACTTTTGGTAGGTTAATAGAGAGGCTCAATAGCGTACCAGAGACCGTGCACCACCCGCATACGTGACAGGAAGAGGACTCCACTTTGCCAGCAACTCGACAAGTTCTTGCTGCACAAATGTCACATTGTTAGAGCGAGCACCCCAATTAAAAGACTGGCAACAGCTCGTCTGTACCTGGATACCACATCGTTTGCCTTCAACGTCCACTGCGTGCACCAGAAACTCGTCGCAGTATTCAGCGAGACGGTGGAACAACGCCTCGCTACTCAAAACACCAACAGGAAAGTCAGATTAGCGCACTAGAAGGCAACAGCAGTCAGCCAACGCACTCGATGGATGTCGTCGTGAACTTCTGCCAGCGGTCTGTCATGACGTAGAACTTGTTGTCCTCCGCCTTTTTGCGGCAGCTGAGATCCAGCACCAGATGCTCCTTGCCGATGAGTTGCTTCAGTTTCTCGAGACGCTCGAAGTCGATCTGGCCGTCGCGGAACACGTAGGACGTGACGATCACATGACTCGCACCTCTCTCCACGAAGAACTGACAGTTGTCAGCGTTGATTCCGCCTAGTGACCAAGCAATATCATCAATTCTCGTATATAGCAGCGCGAACACCGATGCCTACTGACCGCCCACTTGGAGTCCTCCTGGATAGCTCTGCAGAGCATCCAGCGCCGCATTTGTGTTGGCCTCTGATGCGCCCAGCATGATAACGTGTCCGCCTACTAGACCGTCCTTCTTGTACATGCTGTTGCGGGAAATTAATATATTGGAGAATCGATAAAAAAAATATGCAAAAAATGCTTCGATTCTCATACGACGTACCGAGCGAAATCGCCGGCACTCTGCGAAGCGACAAAGTTGGTGACAGGACCCGCGCCTTCTCCGTCTGTGAGAGTTGAGCCTACGATCTGCTTCACCTCGCCAGCGTGGATATCGATGCACGGCCGGAAGCGCATGGCTGATGGTGTTTGGCGACGTTTAAATGCGCAATCTACAGTTGAAAGGCACTATTATGAAGAGTGACATTAAAGTTGAAGAGCATGTCCTTCGAGCAAGAAATGTTCGTGTGGAGCAACAATGTTTTAACTTCATCCTGGAGCAGGGACAGCAGCGCGTCAGCGAGGACACTCGTCACTCTTTTTTTGTTGGCATAGTGCTGCGGCTGCAAGCAATTGAGCTGCAGGCGCTGCAGATTTTTTTGCCCCGCTCTGGACGTTTCAACGAACATTTGCTCCAAAGTTTGGAGTCGAAACGGCCTTATTAGCAAGCTGGGATTGCCACCTTCGTCAGGTACTCACCAAGAATCCTCGAGCAATATCTTCCAGTCGTGTCTGGCCCCTTTTTGGGAGCACGCCATCTTCCTGTGGAGCACATCTACATGTTGAGGAAGTACTGAATTGCATGTCAGATGTAGGATGCAGTACGTCCCACATATATTTTTTTTACCTCCAAATATAGCGCCAAGACAAATCAGAGATGTAGCCATTTTCATTCTGGCGTTGTGCACATGGGCACCATCGAGACTGGGGCGGCATTGCAACTGCTGCGTGCGAAGCAGAACGCTTACTATATCCAGGCGGTGCAGGAAGCCCTGCAAGCGGAGGAGCAGCGCAAGCAAAAATTACATAAGGTCACCAGCAAGGGGGAGGCAAAACGACTAGAAAAGCTATTCATTCGCGAACGAACTGCTGATTGCGAGCGGCTACGTCACATTCAAGAAGACCATGCATTATTATTAAATGCCAAAATTGCCCAGTGGAAGGCGACAGGGGGAATGTCAAAGATTAACCCTAAAGAGACTGCAGCAAGCAAGAGTGCTGGGCGTCGAGCACAATGCAAAGAGAAGTCACACAAAGCGAAGTTCACAAAGGAATCGCTGGATCGCCTTGCTGGACCTCGCGCGTCGACTGCTAAGACAGAGGACACAGGTACGCTTCAGTGTGTGCAAATATCCCGATCAAATGCTGGCTCAACTAATCCCTGGACCCTAGACGATCATCCAACAACTTTCAACTCTCGAGGTACTGCGGAAACGTCTCAAGAGCTCGAGTTCTACAAGAACGTGTATCGAAAGCAAGATCGTGCGCGGTTAGCTCGCAACGCGTCGACGCCGCTTTTAACTCTCACCGCTTCAAACCTGCGCACGGTGCGTGCTACCATTCCATCATCGTAAAACTTGTTGAGAAATGGCGACTCAAACTTTTTGTTTCGTCAAAAGATGTCGGAAACCGAGCTGCTCCACAAGGAGGCGAACCTGTTGACGGAGCTGCACGGTGTGGTATCGCTGGAGGCTCGCATCATTCAGGACGATCAGTGCACGATTCGCTCGTCTGTGTCAAGCTGGACTTCCACCAGCGAGTATCAACCTCCCAGATAAAAAAATATATGTAATTACACGAAGACAGGTAGCATACAACCACCTATTATTCAGAAAGGTTTAGAAACTGTAAGGTGGTCGGGTGGCGTGTCATTATTCATCTTCTTTTTGTGGCGGGGGCCCGCAAGGTTGCAGCATCTTCTCCAACATGTTGTAGCGCACGCGACCCATTGACTCGTTCTCCGCCACGGCGAAGTACGCCAGCATGTCCGAGTGGCCCAAATGGGACGCCAGCGTGTCGCGGTGCTGGTTCACCGCCCATTCACTGCAGCAGCGACAAAATACCATTAGTGTGGCGACCTCATCATCCCGGGCAAGTTAGTTCTGTAGACGCACAATTTGGTCGTGTCGGCGTGGCCCGTTCCCACATATTTGGCCTGCAGGTGCTCCCACTGCCGGTTGATGTTGAAGCGGTCTGCAGCCTACAAGGAACGAGTAACACACGTAGTAGAGAAGCAGGTTAGCACGCGCAGACGCACCCCGGTGGCAGCAGATCCACATACCATTTCGACTTTAACAATTGGCGGAAAAAATAAATTGATTCGTAATGTGGTCCACATTTCCACAAAGCTTAATGTCAAATTTGGATCAGATTATTAATACATGATCTTGCTGTTGTACTCGCAATGCTTCCTGGCGTGAAAGGCGCACCTAATTGTCGTCGGGTTGCCTGCAGTCGCCACTGGCGCTGCAGATGGTGCTTCCCTCTTTTGCATTGGAATCACACCGTGCATGCCACACTCCTCGATGACAATTGCAATGTACGCAAACCGATCCCAACCGTCAATTACATGTAGCGCAGGATTATTGCTAGGAAAGCGTTGCAAACTGTATTAAATGCATGTACCTGGTAGTACCAGGTACTGTACCAGTGGTACAGCTTTCAGGACAGTGGAGTGACTCCACTGTGGACACTGTCAGGGTGAAGCCATCGCATCTTGAACAGAAGCGGCGGTGCGTGACGCTGAGACTTTCTCAGGGCTTGGCTGGCTCGCATGCGTCGCTGTTGATTGTGAGTCAGCTCTCTTCGCGCGCTTTTGCGTCTTAGACGCAGCGTCTGTCGTGACGGCGCCGCGATGCAAACGAGGCTTGCTTCATGCGCATGCCAACGCTTTCTCGCCGCAACAGAAAGTCCCGTCAGAGATTGTCGTCACATTTCACCGCCATGCTAATCAGAATTTTACCTTGAAAAGTCGCGACTACGAAAACGACCTGCAGCTGTTGTCCTTTATCTGCCCGAGAAAAACTAAGGAGCGCCCAACTAAGGAGCGCCCAACTAAATAAGGAGCGCCCAAACATAAATGGAGCACCATATGCAGATTGCAAGATGTGCTTCAAGATCTTATTACTTCTTCAGAGGATATTTTAAAAAAAGAACTTCACTTAATCTACAAATGCATAAAGCCTCTTGCGGTGTCTCCGCAATGCGCCGGCTTATCGGTGCATGCATGGTCTACGCAAGCTCGCCTTCAAGAATCGGTGGCGCTCCCTGCTGTATGGCAGTCATGTGGCGTCTACCGAAGCGCTGGTCTCTCTCGAAAGTCGCCTGGATTCGCAGTGCGATATCAAGGCCCCCCTCCGGCTTTTCATCCTTGAGCACTGCAGTTTCCGAGCTCGATGATAACGATTCGGAGGATCGTGCAACTTGCTTCGCTTTGCACTCAGACCCGCCCAGACGGCCACCGCCTCCGTCTTCTTCAGCGCGAGATCGCTACTCTGGCTCTGACTCAGTGAGTCACTGACAGTTGGACAGCAAGCAATGCTAGAAGGAAAGAGTCACTTGCAGAGTGGAATTGGCAAAATGGGGGACGGGCAGTCCGGCCCGGACAAAGTGCAGCGGCAGGCCCCGGACTCCGGGGCCGAGCCTTTGCGGCACCTTTGGCAAGGGTTTTGCCGACTGCTTCCGGCACTGGCCACGGCCCAACGGCGAAGCAGAGAAGGGGTGCAACTGGAGGAAGTCGCGCACCAATTCGTTAACCAAGATTCTTGGTGAACGAGAATCTTGGTGACTCGCTGAAAAGGCAGCTTCTGTTAGTACCGGTTCGGGACGCAACAAGTACTTGCCACGGTACATGTACACTGCAGACACACCTGAATTTCAGGTGGTCGTTTTCGGCCGAAGATCAAGTCAAAACCAGACTTTTCGCATCATTTTCTCACTTGGAAAAATAAGATTTTTGCGGGGCCCGTACTGCCAGACTTGATGTGCGTGAAACCTGATATTTTGGTGCTTGATTAGTTTCTGTGCCTGAGTATCGTTCCCTCTTTTATGGCTGCTAACTCTGATTTCATTGCTATAGCGCATACAAAAGTACTATATTTCAGAGGATTTGGTTTGCACACTTATGTGCAATTTCGAAACACATTCTCGCAACTTCTTTGCGCAAATTGAGGATACAGGCTCTAATGGCGTATGTGCAACGCCAGCCTGTTCAAGGCTATAGACTGGTCGCTCCTTAGCCTGAGCGCGGCTCCCGCCCGCGCGGCCGCGTGCAACGCGCTGGCGGCGAAGATATCCTGGAGCCGACGCCGACGCCGATGCTGCTTCCTCGCACCGCCAACCGCTCCTGTCCAGCACGCCGAAATGGCCAGCATAAGCTCTCCGCGGTTTCAACGCTGCTGAGCAACGTGGAAGTGCGAGTGCCATGTGGCAAGCATGTCCGACTTCACCGCTGGCCTCACTGCCGGCCACGCACGTGCGCAGGGCGGTCGGCACCGCAGAAAGGATACTTTTTGGCCCCGAACCATTAGGCAAAAGTAATGACGGCACATAATAATTGTTTGAAGCTCTCTGCATTCTCGGCAGGTTATTTGCACGCGCGCGTACTCTTCTACTCGGCTCGTTTCCTCCTGTGCTGGCGCGTGCGCAGCGGCCAGAGCGGGGGCGAGGGTGGCGACGCGAAGCTGTTGCTATCGATCCTTTCTGCCCCCTGCCTGCCTGCACCACGACGCGCTAGCTACTAGAGAACAATTCAAATGAGCCCTTTGTACTTATAATCTTGCTTATAAACCTGCGCACCGAGGCGGGGGGATCATAATACCACTACCGACTGTAATGCACGCGCTTCCGGTGACGGCGAAGACGCAGTCGGAGCACTTCTATTGTTCCACACACACACCCTCTCGCTCGCGCCGGGGCCGCCGCGACTTCCACGATCGCGGCGCCGCGCAAGCGCCTCTTCTTGTTGTAGTAGTTCCATGTATTGTACTGCTCCGCAGCCTCCCCGAGGCGCTGGGTCGGTCCCCATCTCGCGATGCAGTCCTTCTCTTCGTTCCACACGAGATCCGCGGGCGTTCCCGGCGCACTCGCTGCCGAGAAATCCCTAACTAGCTTGGCGTGCCCGACTACGCACCACCTAAGTGGTCAGGAAGTCCGGCATCTCGAAAACGATGTCCTCGCCACCGTCGTTCTCCGGATTCTTAGCCCGGGTGCTCACTTGGATGTACTCGGTCGTCACGGCCTCGTAGCTACTCAACCACCGCGTGAGCTCGCAGAAGCAGCAGTCACACCCAGGCGCGTGCATCTCCGCGTCTTCGGCCGACGCGATATCCTTCGAGTTGTCGAACACGCGCTCCATCAGCTTGGCGCGCCAGTCCTGGTAGATCTTGAGACGCAGCTGGTGTGCCTTCTGCCGCGCCTCGGGGCTCATGCTCAGAGCCTTTTCCGAAACCTGCAGCGAGAAGTCATCCATGATATTCAGGTACTGCTCGTGCAGCGTCTGCAGGCTTGAGAGCAACTGGTCTTCCTCGGGGGACAGCGTCTCCTTCATGCCGACGAGGAAGTCGCGAACGTTCTTGGCGATCTCCATCCCTGCTCTGATCGCTTTGCTCCTAGCTCTCTCTTTCTCCCTGTCACACTCCCTGTGCTCTGACTGCACGGCCACGCGGGGTCTGCGATGGATTGCTTCTCTGTTTGGACTAGCAGCGGCGGGCCCGAGCGGAACGGACACGTGCGACCGGAGGGCTCTTTTGTCTGTGTGTGTCGTGGCCAGCAAGATGGCGAATGGTACTGGCCCGGCGCTGGGCTGGGTGCGAGGCTTGCGGGTGTCGTGGAGTGTGCCACTCCAATTTGTTCCCTTCCAAATTCGGATGCGTCGGGCAAAATCGGCACTTGGCAAATATCACAACAAGAAAGATGGGCAGGCACGCCAATTGGTGGAGCGCGAAGCATACTCATCTCAAGTCAAAACCTGTCGGCCCGCTAAAGCCTCTGATTCAAAGAGAACACTTTGTTTTACAGAAGACTGTGGCGGCCGGCAATATCCGGCCAATATTTTTGCCATTGCGCCATGGTGCCAAAGTGCCTGTACGAGGTGACCAAGGCGCCGCGGTGAGTAGCGGGCACCTATAGTCACCCGCGCGGCTGCCACGCTGCAGAGCTTGCTGCTGGTAACGCTACTGCTCAGCAGTCTGCTGGGGTGAATTCTTGCAGCCGCGCAAAAGCGAAATGTCATGGTAGGCTCGAAAAAAAGGGGCACTTTTCCGCTAGAAACGCCAGCCGGTATCACGCTTGTTTGATGGCACTGCCCGTGGTGGTGTCCAGGCGAAATGAAACAAGAAGCCCTCTTGTTCGATCTCGTCGTCAACTGCACTCGACTCTCTGCCTTATTCCGGCCTTTGCGTGCTTGGCTGCTTGGAGCCGCCACTATTTTACTATGCTTCGAGCGGTTGCCCACGCCAGCAGACTCCTCACTGCAGTGAGAGTTCGTTGCGGCTGCTCCTCGCAAGGTTCAAGGCTCTATCCATGCACTACAACGTGTGCGGTGGGGCGGCTTTATTAATTCGAGACAAGTTGGCCATTGCCATCGATTGCCTTGTCCCGTGGGACGTTGTCAATCAGAGCGCTGTGCTCGTCTGCCGCGATCTGGCGCCGAGTTGTGCCTGGCGTGCGATTGCCAAAACGGGCGTGGGTTCAGCGATCTTGGCAATGGGCGCTATGACACCAAGTCAAAGGAAGCTGTAGTGCTCGCATGATACGAGTCGTATCGGGTCATCCGAGCTCCCCACCGAGCTCTTCACAGCCTACTCTGCAACGGCCACGGACCCTGGGGGCAAGCGTAACGATGCCGCCGCCCTGAGTTGGAATATCAGGCCGCGGTTGAAGAGTAAACGGGCCCTGCTCGACGCACGTTCGCGCGCGCTTCCGCCGGCAAGGCCGCACTCGACATGTTCGGCTCGGCAAATTGCCGAGCCGACGGCAATGCATGGCAAGGTCGACGACAGTGGAGGGACCACTTCGACCTGGACAGAGCCGCCGGCTCTGTCCCAATCGCGCGTCTTTATCACGAGTGCCCCATGACGCGGCAGCTGCCACGCTGAGTCACGCCGCGCAGTCACGGACGAGCTGCGGATAGACTTTCCGATAGAGCAGTGCTCTAAGACTCATGGACTAAGAGCACCGCATGTACATGTACTGTTCGGATCACCTGAGGCCTGGACCGCCGACGCGTAGTCTGCGGACACCGCGGCGGTGGTGGCGTGCCTCGGCCTAAATGCAAATCGGGCCGAGCGGTCTGATCGGGTCAAGGTTCCGATCATCAAGTCGTCCGCATTCGCCATTCCCGCTGGTGTGAAAGTGCAAAAAATATGAGTCGAGTTTGTTTCTGCGTCCGGTGTGGTCCACACTAGCGTGCGGGACCACTAGCCGCTTCAACTGCAACGCCTGCGTCGACGGAAGGTGACGAGCGGCAGCAACGGCGACGGCTACTGGGGGATGTGAGAGAAAGAGAGGCAGACGATTCTATTTGGTCCTTATCGACGACTAGATGTCTGTTTGATCCTAAGCCTGGTTATCAACGTCGGTTCCTTACTTTGGGGGATGTAAGCTATCTTTCGAGCAGCTACGTGCACGGTAGAGGGGGATACTGAAATATTGTTTTCCCAATTTTTGTTCGAGTCAATTTCGGTAGTAGAAAAGTAAAACTACAACATCAACAACAGAGACGCTGCAACACGCCCGAGACATGTTGCCTCACTATAATACCGCAGCTCGTTTCATGTTGGGCCGACCTCATGACAAGCGGCTTGCTCGCTGGTCCTGCGTGAGTCACGCAGCGTGACAAGCTTGGCAAGCATTGCTTGTTCAATACTCGCGCCTCTCGGTGGGAAGCGTCCACAGAAGTTCTGTCAGAACACCACGCCATCGTCGAGTCCGCCTGAGTCCCAGGCTGAGATCCCACGGCTGCGAATCAGATCTAGACTGGTGAAACGCCTGGAAATGTGGCGGTTTCATCAGTGTGGGAGCTCGGTACAGTAGCCAGCGCCCGGCCCAAAGACCATTGCAACGAGGGATGAGAAGAACTACATGTAGTTGCCTGCATTCGAGGCGCGACACATGCAGAGCTACATCGGCACTGAAACCCACACTCGTGACGTAGATTCGTTTCAGCTGCTGATGCGATCGGGCTTGACCTCGTGCTGAACGGCTGCTGATCTGAGGTCTGCTCATTGCTGGCTTCGGTCAGCGACAGAAGGATTCGTATGCAGCAAAGAGCTCCGTAACATCCGTGATGTGATGGGCTCACTAATGGTGAGAAAAAATATGTGTGTGGCACACGTTACATGTACAGTACATGTACTTACTCTCCACTGAAAAACGCAGCTACCGGTACATGTATGGATAATATGTGCCGTCCCAGATTGGATGGCGAATGTGATTCTGCAATTAAAAGCCCAATAATCTCATGTTACGCGAGCTAAGACACGATCTGTCTTTTCAAATACACAGTTAATATTTGTTGCTATAATATACGCTCCATCACTTCAATCACCGACGACTACCTGGTTACCTCCCCCGGCGACTGCCTGGCTACCTCTTTCATTCATGTTACGCGAGCTAAGCATCCAGCATTAATCCGGGGCTAATGATCTGTCATTTCAAATACACAAGTAATATTCGTTATTATACGCTTACATCATATCAATCACCGGCGACTGGGTCTTGGCGTGCAGCTTGCAAGCCAATTCTTCCTCCCTCCATTCATGTTACGCGAGCTGAGCGTCCGGCTTCTTGTCCTACCTCCGAGATCGCTGGGCGAACTCAGCATGAGCGAGTTGTTCGGCGACTGTAAAACTAACGTCCTGAATCAATAATTACCCTTGTAAAAGCGATCGACACTTGTACGGACTTAGCGAAACTATTCTGGACTCTTAGAGCAAAGCTTCATACTGTTATCATCCCGTTATTTTTATAAGCTGTCTACTTAGCCCCTCATTACACCGGTCGTTAAGTAATGTAAACCTTTGCCTGATGTACGACACACATTTTTCTTGGCGGCTTTTTGGTAAGCACTACCAGGAAAAGAGCTACAGTAGCTACGGTATTTAGTCTCACTCATACTAATTTATGTGAGGTGCTGCAGACTCTGCTCACCTAAATTAGTATGAGTGTGGTTAATTATGCACTCTGACTATTTAAGGTGTGGTAGAATTAGTCACACTTAGACTAATTAATGTCTCACCCTAATTAGTCACACTGGTTTACGATTGTTGAGAAGCTGGTCTGGTTATTCTTTTGTTTTTTTGTGTGTTTGTTTGCCATATCCAATGAAACCGCTTGTCCAGCAAATTGATCTGGGAACTTCTTGATGATTACTTGAAGGTGGCTGAATAGCTGTTCAGTTCTCCATACACCATCAACATCCAGCGAGAGTCCGCATCGAATCATGGCTTTCCGAGCGTAGTTCACATTATTCTTGTCCCTTTGAGAGTTGACTTGGCGTACTGCTTTAGCAGCCAGGGACAGAAAAAATGCTTTCCTGGATTCTTAAGTTTTCCTGACCAGGTTCCATCGGACCTCTTTTTGTTTTGCCATGCCTCCTCCTCAATCAGCTCGATCTTTTTCTCATTCCACATTCGACGCCACTCGTCCTTTATCTTTGCGATAACGAATGAGTCCGCCGGCTGATAGAGATCCGTTGCGTTTGCTGGAAAGAAGGCTAAAGAAGCGTTTAACTTCTGAAGCTCTTCAGTACACTTGTCTTCCTCGAGGTGACTTGAGCAGTTATCTAGGAATATAGTCTTCTTGCGACCTAAACGATCCGGCTTTTGAGCTCGAGGCTCTTTCAGATACTCGCGAAAGAGACGTTTGTCCATCCAGCCCTTCGGCCCCGTACGATAACACACTCCTTCCACGTCATCCTTAACTCCACGAATTGGATAACTATGGTCTGCGTTCGTAAAAAGCATCATCGGGGGCAAGATACGTGCACTTGGCCCACCGCTGATTCGCACGACCATTGTCATTCCATCCCCTCCGGATACAACATCCGCATATTTGACCTGTTTTTCGCCTCCAAAACCGAGAGTCTTGCCGTTGTCAAAATCTACAACGAAATGAGTTTCATCGATGTTTTCAATCGCATTCTCGTCATATAAACCGCTCTCAAACTCACGCTTCAACTTGCCAAGGTGATAGGCCACTTGCTTCTCAATATCTTCAACCTTCTGAGGGCTCACCAGTCGTTTACCTGTTGCCGCACGAAGTACTATGTTGTTGTTCTCCATAAAGGTTTGCACCCAGCGTGAGGTGATCTTTGTTAACAGCTCAGCCCCGTTCTCATCAGCCTTTGGAGCTTGAGGATCCTGGAGGATACGCTTAGCTACTTGACGTAGCAAGGATGCGTCGAACTTCAACCCCAATTTACGTAATCGATCAAACTCGCTTAGCAACAAAGGATATATCCAGAGCACCCACTTGCTCCGAGGACGACCTCGGCCGGACAAAGCCTTAGAGTTCACTCGCTTTCTTCTATCTGATCGTAAACTCGACAGTGACACAGAACCCCGGAGTGGCGCTTGAAGTTGCTCTCGATTCTTCCACCAGGCCATCGCTTTGCTAAGGTTAGCATTGCGAGTAGACGAGTTAAAAATATCAGGAAATTGATCTACAGCTCTCGCGAACATGTTCTTCGCTCCCTTTGCTTTTTCATATTCTTCCATCCAGGAGATGACACGACGGCGATGCTGGATGGTGGTAACCTGTTGTGACGCTCG